TCAACGCCCCAGGCCTTGAACGGACTTGAACGGGTCGGCGGGGCCTCTTCGGCCATGCGCCGCCCACCTCGGTGGCCTCGACAAGCTCGCAGAAGGCCGCCGATGCCATCGAATAACCGATCTTGGCGTTCGCTTTCGGAGTGGCACAGGCATCAATACTGCGATGCAAAGCCATCATCGAAGCTTTCCGAGGCACGCCCGACGCCCCCGCTGCAAAAGCCGAGAAATCCCAATCAGCTGCGGACACCGATAGGTGGGCCCTCTCCAGGGCCGACCCAGCGCGCTTGAAAATATTGAGGCGCTGCTTGCCCAGACCCCCGCCGGCGCGCACGCACGCGCGGCCCGCGAGCAGAACGGGCCATCCAGGCATGTCCATCGCGGCGAACAATAACCTCTGAGGATCTAGTATCCCACGCGGTAAACTCGATGGCCACCTGAGGCCCACCGAGGCCCTTGCAAAAATGGCCGCACCAGCCGATGTCTGTCCTCCACCACACTTTATCGGCGGAGCGCACAACACATGTCACCCCAGACTCTTCGCCGCGGCCGTTCTCGCCGCCAGGTCACCTTCGGCCACGCACACTTCCTGCGCAAACACCGCCAGCGCCTGTGTGCTCCCAAGTCTTTTCCTGGAAGTACCCCAACTGTTTCCATTGTACGATTCGAAAACATGAGCTTGGCGATCCAGCTCAATGGGGGAAGCGGACTGCGAAGGAAAGCCTACGCCGCGCGCAGAAACGCGATAGCGTGGCCTGACTCGTGCTTCGGCTGCAAAAAAAAACCTTGGACTAGGTTGCTCCCAGTGCACAAGCGGCGTATTCACGCCATCGTGCATCTGGTGGTCACCTCTCATGAAGCGGGCGCCCTGACCGCACTGCAGCACAGCAAGGAGGCACCGCGATGCCTTCAAGTCATCGAATGTCTGCTGGCGCAGCCACTCCGATTCGCACACATACGAATGGAACCGCACCGCGTCGCCAGGCAACGCATCCGCCATGTCGCGCGCCTGCTCGGCGGTCGCTCTCATGCTCGCCCACGTCGGTCCGCTGCAAATGACTCGCCACCTCTGGCTTCTTGAGCTCGGTTCCGAGAAGGGTTCGGGTGAAGGCGCGTTCGTCGCCACTACGCTTCTCCCGAAAAGCCTCAGCAGCTGCCTCGTCTTCGAAGGCATCGTCCATCCCGGTATCGCGCGGGGTTGGCACGCCCGCGCCATCGGCGGCTTCCTCTTGGCGAGGTTCGCCTGGCCCTGCGCGGTCGCCACCAGCAGCAGCCCGATGCTCGGCGAACGTCTTCGCGAACTCCTGACACCCGGGAGTGGCGAGCACGCTCTCGACGGCGCCCTTGCCCTCCAGCAGGTCGGGGGACAGGTTGAAATCCAGAGGCCGCTCGCCGCCATCATCACCACCGTCAGCAGCGCGAAGAACGGACAGGATGTGCTGGCGCTGCAACTCCGACACCTCCGCCGCCGCCGCAAACTTGCGCGCCTGGATATCGGTCGCCATGGCGCGGAGTTCCTCGAGCTTCTTGCGGTGCTCCTCCAGCTCCGCCGCGACCTTCTCCAGCTTGGTCGTCTCCAACGCGAGCCCGCGCCCGACGTTGGCGCGCTGGGTAACGCTCGGCTTCTTGCCCTCGGTCTCCGCGCGCACCTGCTTGAGCTTGGCCTCGAGTAATGCGCGCGCCTCAGCAGCATCTTCGGCCTTGCCGCGGGCCTCGATCGCCGCCCCGAGCTCTTGCGTTCGAACTTCAGTGGGCCGGGCCCCTCACCAGCTCCTCCACCGGCCCGGGCCCCGCCCCGCTGCCCCCCTGCGCCTTGCCCGCCCGTGGCTCCGCGGGCGGGCTTGGAGGCGCCGCCGCCCGGGAGCTGGTCCAGCTTCTTCTGCAGCTCGGCCAACCCGGACCCCAGCTTTGCCCCACGGCGCGACCCCGCAGCGGGAGGACGCGCTCGCCCATGGTCAGCGCCACGATCAGGATTCCCGCCACCCTTGCTGCCAAACGACTTGGCCCGCTGCAGCACGAAGGCAGGCGCCTCGAGCCCGCGTCGGAACCGAAGCCTGCATGCCCACTTGCTCGCGCGCCCGCAACCCTGACACCCCCAGAAAGGGGCCATCGGTCCGCGGACCACGTCTCCATCACTCATGGAGGCCAGTGCCGCACAAGAGTGCCGCACGACCTGCGCCCTCGGAGCAGCCTCGAGCCTCTGGAGTCGGGACGGGAAGTAAGCCCCGTCTTGCATCATAGACATCCCCTTGTGTCACGGAATACCCCCTTCCTGGGTGGACGCCGGCGCGTCGCCGTCATGGTCGTGGACGTGGTCGTGATGGCTGTCTCTGTTCGCGCAGGCTGCTTCTGATCGTGCTCGTGGTGGCTGTTCGTGGTCGTGGTGGCTGTTTCTGGTCGTGGTCGTGGTGGCTGTGCTTGGTCGTGGTGGCTGTTTCTGGTCGTGGTGGCTGCTTCTGGTCGTGATCGCGGTGGCTGTTCGCGGTCGTGGTGGTTGTTTCTGGTCGTGAACGTGGTGGCTGCTCGTGGTCGTGGCGGGTGCAACACCGCATCATGGATGCCTCCGCGCGTCACGGAATACCCCCTTCCTGGGTGGACGGCGGCGTGTCGCCGCGATGGTCGTGGACATGGGTGTGATGGCTGTTTCTGGTCGTGTAGGCTGTTCATGGTCGTGGTCGTGGAGGCTGTTCGTGGTCACGGTGGTTGCTTGTTGTCGTGGTCGCGGTGGCTGTTCCTGGTAATGGTGGGTGAAGCTCCGCATCATGGACACCTGCATGTGTCACGAAACATCCCCTTCCTGGGTGGACGCTGGCGCGTCGCCGTGATGGTCGCGGACGTGGTCGCGGTGGCTGTTCCAAGTCGTGCACGCTAATTATGATCTTGGTCATGGTAGATGTTCGTGGTCGTGGTGGCTGCCTCTGGTCGTGGTTGTGGTAGCTGTCCGCTGCCGCAAGCGTGTCCCTACCCAGTACAGCATGTCTTGTCCCAAGCAGAAGCTCCACCGCAGGCCCCAGGGCCGCGGCCGCATGCGTCTCCCCCAACCAGGACAGCGCTTCGTGGCACCATAGGAAGCTCCACCGAAGGCCCCAGTGACCGCGGCCGCATGTGCCTCCCCTACCCAGTGCAACGCTTCGCGGCCCATAGGGAGCTTCACCAAACGCTCCAGTGGCCGCAGCCGCATGCATCTCCCCCACCCGATACAGCGCTTCGTGGCCCCATAGGGAGTTCCGTCTAAAGCCCCAGTGGCCGCGGCCGCATGCGTCATCCCCACCAACTAGCTCCGTGGCCCCATAGGGGATCAACAGAAGACTCCAATGGCTGCGGCCTCATGCGTCTCCCCACCAAACAGAGGTCACCCCTCACGCGTTTCGTTGCCCCATAAAGAGCTCCACCGAAAGCGGTACCCACAACGCGGCACTCGCAACTACACATAGTTAGGTCCTTCGCCAAGATGAATAACTTACCGCACCAGCCCCAGCCGCACCCCCTCCCCACTCAAGTGACGTCACGATTCGTGCTGACATCCATGGTGTTGTTGCCTATTCCTAAGCACTACAAGAAGGCGCCGCCGCGAAATGTGACGTTACCGGCCCCCCGCCCCCGCCCTCCACCCCCAGCATCACCCGCTATCGCCCAGGAACTAAAAATAACGCTGTCCTCTCGTTCACGGAAGGCTCAAGGCTGGGCTGACGAGTTAGGGATTGGCGGCGCGGCGAGGGGGGGAGTGAGAGGGAAGAGGCCTTGGGAGTTTCGGGTCTGAGGGTCGAAGTTTTCACCATTCTCGCTGGTCCTCGGCGGTTTCCCAGCCTCGGAATGCGCTCTGGCGGCTGCGCCTCGCCGAGAGCGCTCCTGGGTGCCCAGATCGCCCCGAAGGGCCACGGGCGAGCCGAGGCATGACCCAAAAATCATCAGGCGACCGAGAGGGTGCAGGCCTTCTGAGAAGCCCTCTGCGTCTGGGAAGGCTGGAGGCCCTCTGAGCCTTCTGAGGAGGCCCGCCCCCCCTGCCTTGCCCCCTGGGCGCGCCGCCGAAACGATGCGGAGGTGCCCCGTGCAAGACACGACGGCGTGGTGAGGAACCAAACGACGACACAGCTGAGCACGGGATAAGAGATTCAGGTGGAGGTTCCCCGAGGTTCTAAATGGGTCCAGCGGGCTCCACCAGAGTCTGCCGGAACATGGCCGCAACAGTGCGGGTCAAGAGCATGAGCCCCGTCGTCGAAGGCCCAAGGCCCCGTGGAAATATCCAAAACGAAACAGCATTCCGATATGGCGAGTCCAGACACGGGGACCGTAAGGGTGACCCTGCAAAAGGATGCTGTTCTGGTCCCTCGTGCCAGTTGTACTGCACCTTCCTCATGAGGGGCTGAGTCTGGGCGGAGTAAGCCACGACGGAGACCGAGCACGCCGTGCGGACTTACTCTGCACGGACTTCGCATCTTTAGGTCGGGACGGAGCAAGCCTGGGCGGAGACCGAGCACTCCGTACGGACGGACTTTGCATCCCCAAGCACGGACGGACGGCCTAACCCCCAGACGGAGACCGAGCACCCCAGAGTACGTACTCCGCACCGGCGTAGCACCTTCCGACTTCCAGGCGTACAAAAACGGAGGCCCAGAAGCACGGCACCGACACCAACACACGGGCGGTCGCCTCCTCAGGAGGGGCGGCGGGCCCCTGATCTCGGCGGTGGTGGTCGTACCCAGGCCTCGCGGGCGGCCTCAAAATTACCGTCGACCAACAGCCAGAGATCGAGGCGCATGTCTTGTCGACTTCGGCGTTGGTCTGGGACACCACGTGGATCGTTCAGCCTTGAAGGATCGGCCGTTTCCGAAACGTTAGATCGTTCAACAACAAGCGACTCTGGGTCGCCGACGGCGTCCAATATGGAAAGCCAGCGGCAGGGTCGCCGCCGGTCGACAGGACGCGAACCTACCGTCGCTGGCGGCCGCCGATGTTGGCGCACGTGCCAGCTCCTCTGGGCCTCCGAGGAAAGAGGAAAGCTCCTGGGGGACCATCTGCACAAGACCCTCAGCAGCCAAGGCTTCCCGAAGAGCACGACCAAAAGAACCGCCATCCCCTCAATGAGGAGGAAAAGCGGGCGAAGGCGGGGGCTCGGAGCACGCGGTTCTTAACTGAAGAGGCGGCCGCACTCGCCGTGCGCGCATCGGACAGAAGCCGCACGAGCCAAAACGAGCGGGGCCGCTCACGGGGCTTGCGCCGCCTGTGCTGTGTCTCGCGGACACCAGGATCTTCGGCGGCACCCGGACGGGCGGCGAGGGCGAGGGGCGAGGGTTGGGCAAGGACGAGGGAGACGAGGGCGAGGAGGAAGAGGACGAGCAAAGGAGGGGGGGGGGGAAGGAGAAGAGCAACGGAAAGCAGAGGACGTGAACACCAACGGTCGGAGGTCCGGGCGGCCATCTCTGGTCGGCACTGGACCCCCTCCCCTGGCGACCCTGGTGGGCCGGGCGCGCGCTGGGGGGGGGGACCAGCGCCGACCCAAGAAATCCGCACGGGCCTTCGAAGAATCAGATTTACTCCACGGTTAGAGGAAAAAGAACTATGCACATACACCGATTCTGGCCAGGCCCATCCTGAGCCCAGGATCGGTGCATACGCCCTCCTACCTTGGCCAGGAAGGCATATGCACCGATCCTGGGTCAAGGATGGGCCTTGCCAGGATCGGTGCATGTGCATAGTTCTCTTCGCTCGAACGGTGTGGAATGTGTTGTTGTGGCTTCTCCCCGCCTCTCCCCTGCATGTGCATGCCCCTGACTTGCAGGCCCCCGGGCCTGGGGGACTTCGAAGCATATCCTGAACAACCGGTCGAGGAAATGCTCCCGCCACTCTCGTGGCCAACACTGGCCAACCCTCTGGCCAACTCCACACAACCCCGGCCAACCCGTCCAGCCAACCCTGGCTAGTGCGATTTTTCTAGGATAGCTCACTCCATAGCACGCCGTATGCTGTCGTCTTCTTCGAGAGAAGGTCGACGGGGGCGCTGGGGGTGTTCCACTCGCCAGCAGCAGGGGCGGGCAGGGCCGAATTGACGACGACGTTTGCGCCGGCCCCTCGACGATCACGACCACGGCCACGACCCTCGACGACGTCACCACCGACCCCTGTCTCCCCCTCCCCCTCCTTGCCTTTTTGATGGGGACCCTGCTTGAATGTCGCCCCCCTTCTTCTCCTTTTCCTCCTTCCTCCTCCTCCTCCACCTCCTCCTCCTCCTCCCCATCCTCCTCCTCTTCCTCCTCCTCCTCCTCCTCTCCTCCTCCTCCTCATCATCATCATCATCATCATCATCATCATCATCATCATCATCATCATCATCATCATCATCATCATCAACAACATCATCATCATCATCATCACCACCACCACCACCACCATCATCATCATCATCATCATCACCACCACCACCACCACAATCATCATCATCATCATCATCATCATCATCATCATCATCATCATCATCATCATCATCATCATCATCATCATCGTCCTGCTCCTCCTCCTCCTCCTCCACCTCCTCTTACTCCTCCTTCTCTTCCTCTTTTTTTTCCGCCTGCGGGGGCATTCGCAGATGACCACGACTGGTGCAATTCGTTCAGCGATGTCCTTACAATCTGGCGTCGACCAAGAGCGCCAAGGGGGCCAGTCCTCACTGAGGGTGCGTCTATGCGGTGGTTGGCGAGGGATCTGGGACCATGACCCAAACGCCCGGGGGTTCCCACGAATGTCGGGGCTGGGGACCCAAGGGTGCCCATGGGCCATGTTGAAACGGGGGAAACGAGGAGGTATTAGATAGGTGGTGGTGGGCACTAGGAGGAGCAGGAGGAGGAGGAGCAGGAACGGAGAAGGGACAAGGGAGGAGGAGAGGAGGGAGGAGGAGGAGGAGGAGGAGGAGGAGGAGGAGGAGGAGGGGCTCTGAGGGGCTCTGACGAGAGCGGTCGTTCAATGACCCCTGGCATGCAGGCCGAGGCAACCCCAACGGGCCGCGATGCCGAGCACCGAGCCGGACGAGGAAAATGAACCACGACCGAGGGCCGAGGAACGACTGCAGGCGCGCAAGCTGAGGCTAGCCCAAGGCGACCCCGACGGGGCAGACAACCTCAGGCGCCGAGGGACTCCGCGAGGGGGAAATCACAAATCGCCGCCAGCGCCTTTTATCTGCCGCGTTGGTTCTGAGCTGTCCCTGCCGACGAGTGCGATGATGTCCGACGCCATCTTCTCGAACTGCTGCTGCGACGTTGGCGGGCAATCCCGCGCGCCCGATGAATCAGAAGCGGCCCCGACGGACCCAGATACATCAAGCTCAGGACCGAGAGACGCGCCGATGCGCTGAGAGCTGCGGCTATCCGCAAACTGGGACACGGAGCTGAAGTGGCCGACCTTGTCGATGTCCGCGCGGACCTCCTCGCCGACGCGGCGCACCTCGATGCCGCCCGAGACGGCCGTGTCTGACACGATGTAGGAAACCATCGCGCCATCCCCTGTCGCAACCATGTCCTTCATGTCCTGCCACCAGTCCATGAACGGGTCTTGGTCTGAGTCACCACCGTCGAATACTCCTCCTCCGAGTCCCACGGGCAGCTGACCATCTCCTCCACCTGTTTGCGCTGCAACGCAAAGGTCTCTGGGGGCGGTGCCATCCCGCACATGTTGCACTCCTTGCGGAAGCGGAAGTTCGCCGCTGCGCACTTGCACCTCCAGATCTTCACGCAGTGCTTCGTGTTGGACAGAAACTGCGACGATGGCACCCAAGGGGCCCGCTTCTTGGGCCTGTCCACCTCAGCCATGTTCCTGCCGCGTCTCGCGGTGCTTCCCCTCCTCGCAGTTCTTCCCCCCGTGGTCCACCGGCCGCTGGCGCACCTCCAACGGCGCCGGCGTCGCCAGCGGCCTTCCGCCCCCATGGGGCCCCCGCTCAGGCAGCGGACGCCCATCTCCTCGATCTTGGTCTGCAGCTCCTTCCGCGAAGCCAGCTGCTCCAATTCCAGCTGGAGGCAGTTCTCGAACTGCTTCTTATCGCTCTTGGCCGCGCGCTGATCCCCCGATAGGTCCGAACGCGGCCCCTCCTCCTTCTCGGCGCCCTCGATGGCCTTGCGGTTGCGAGCCCGCTCCGCGAGGACCGAGGGGTCGATGAGCTCCACTTTGCGGCCATGGGCACCAGATTTCGACATCTGCGCGCACAACCATGTGCGCTGTCACAAAGGCCACGCGCAAGCCCTCGCGGGGGATTTCTGCGTCTGCGCGGCGCCAATCAGGGCGGCGCTCTGCGCCCCGACGCAAGCCGAGCAGGAGCAGGTGCTCGCCCCCGAACTCGGGGCGCACGACAGGCACCAAGTGAAACAAGATGCAAGGCGCAGCAGACGGGAGCGAGAGAGGAGACCCGACGAGGGGGAGAAAAGTAGTAACAACAACAGCAACGGCAGGGAGGACATTCAGCAGGGCACACTTATACCTCACAAACACACACACACACACACGGGCGTGCAGCTCCTGTACAAAGACAAGAATCAACAAAACAATGTAAGTAATCAATCAAGCTTCCAAAATCAAGAAATCAATGATAAGCCAATGAAGAATCAGAGAAAATTCGACAACGCAGCACGAACTGCAATTACCCGGATAAACCCAAAACAACCACGCCAAGTTGCTGAAAGAGGCGAGGCGACACGGTCAACCAAGCATTCACTGACAAGTAACTATGGGCCATCAACGGCAAGAGCAAGACGCAATTATAGAAACTCATCCCCCAGCAAGGTCAAGATCACACATAATAACATGATAGCAATACCACTTCAGACACCCGAGGCGAATCAAAGAAGCGGCGTGCAAATGCGCGCACGCACGAACCACGCATCGCGAGAGACAAAGCTAAAAACAACCATGGTCAAATCCAAGCCCACCGTAGCACGATGGGGAAGAAACCCAATACAGCTACGCAAACCTACGATTCATAATCATCATGAAGACACTAGGAGTCTGGGTCGACGCATCCACCTTTGAGAAATGTTGCTTTACCAGTGACGTCCTCGGATACCATGTAGTTACTTCGCCAATCATCGGGGCATTGTTCCGGGAGTTGCCAACCTGGAACCCGAGCTGCTCCGAGAGGCAGCGCGCGCCGATGTGGGCCACAAGCCGCTGCATCCGTTCACGGAATGGCCCGCGGCGGCTGCGCGGCCCCGAAGCGCGCCGCCCGCCCCCCCCCGCCACCGGGGGCGGAGCTGCCTGAGCCAAAATGCCCGCGGAGAGGGGGGGGGAGGAGGAGAAAGAGGAGGAGGAGGAGGAGGAGGAGGAGGAGGAGGAGGCGCGGGGAACGAGGCCGAGCGCCGCCGCCCAAGAGACGAACGAGCGGCCGGCAGGCACGGGCGGCGGAGCCCCCGAGGGCCCCAAGGCGCCCTCAAATGGCGCGGCCGAGGAAGCCTCCCAGCTTGAACACGCCCTGCCCCTGGGAATGCACCCCCAGGCCAGACGGGGAACACGAAGTCCTCGACGGCCCTCGACGCGGGCCAGCTAGCCGAGGAACACGAGACAGATCATGGACCACAGCCGTCGATGAAAGGATCGCCTCGCTAGAAACCTATCAGCAAAAGCTGTTAGGTAAATATGGCACAGGACTGGTGTTCTGGGAACACGAAGATCACAAAGTGGCCCACAGTTGGCTCCCGGCAATCAAAATATGGTACAGGAATGGTGTTCTGGGAACACTAAGAACACGAAGTGGCCTACAGCTGGCTCTGGGCATTCAAAATGTGGCCTGGGAATGGTGTTCTGGGAACACGAAGAACACAAAGTGGCCTACAGTTGGCTCCGGGCATTCAAAATGTGGCCTGGGAATGGTGTTCTGGGGAGTTCCCGGATCCTCCCCGGCACCCGCCCAAACCCCCCTGGGGAGTCCCAGGGAGTCCCCGGATTCTCCCCGACATCCACCCAGACCCCCCTGGGGAGTCAAGATGCTCTCTTTTGAGCCCACTAGAAACCTATCAGTCTTCGCTGTTAGGTAAAAACATGCCCGAGATTTCGCAGCCAGCCTTTGCACTGCAGTCCTCGAGCTCCTCCATGTTTCGGGGG